CAATTGCTGGAGGGTTAGTCTTGGATGGTGCTTCAGGCTGGGCAGGGACGGGACAGAGCGTCCTGCCAGCAGGCGACACACAAGCTGGGCAGGGGCGGTGACCGCGCGGACGACATGAGCCAGCGGGAGAACCCGGGGCGTGTGGGGTCGTCCAAAAGAGCCGTGCCAAGGACTAACGGGGCTGCACGTGCCAGCAACGCTCTGGGAGAGAAAAGCCGCTTTTGAACTGAATGTGGAATCGGGCAAGGGGTTCTTTAAATAGGGTGTCTTATTTGAAATCCTAAATCATGATAAAAACATATAATTCAGCTGTTCTCGTGGCTGATCTTCTTTCCAGCATCAAGCCTTCTTTTGGGCCCTTCAGTTACTGGATCAGAACTCTCCACGGAGCTCCTTCACACACTGATCCTGGTCTCCACCATGTAGGTGGACGTCTAGACCATGAGCTAGGGCTTCTCCATGGAGGCACCTCTAATGCCTGGGGCCAGATGAGCCTTCCCACGGGGGCTGTCTCGGGCTGTCACGTGTGTGGCTGAATCCCTGGTCTCTACGCCAGCAACAGCCACCAGATCTCAACAACCAACGAGTACCTCTGGCCGTGGGTGAGTGTCCCTGGGAGTAAGCTTCCCTCCATTGAGAATCATAGAGCTAAACCACAGGGCTCCTAAGGCTATCGGGCTTTTAGTACCAAGCCAAGGGCATAAATAAAATAGTCTAAATCATTTATCTAAAATGGGACTAACTTCTGGATAAAAACAGGATTATTCAACTGTAGATACATTGAAGTTTACATGCTTTTGTGACATCCCTTGTGGTCCAGTGGTTACGAATCCACCTTCTAGCATAGGGAACATGGGATTGATCCCTGGTCAGGGAACTAAGATCTCACACGATGTAAAGGAACCAAGCCGCCTCACTGCAAGTACTTAGCCCTTAGGCTCGGGAGCCCAAGAGACACAACTAGACAGCCCAGTTCAGTCCAGATCAGTCACTCAGTTGTGTCTGACCCTTTGCGACCCCATGGACTACAGCACGCCAGGCCTCCCTGTCCATCACCAACTCCAAGTTTGCCCAAACTCATGTCCATTGAGTCAGTGATGCCATCCACCCATCTCATTCTCTGTCATCCCCTTCTCCTCCTGTCCCCAATTCCTCCGAGCATCAGGGTCTTTTCCAATGAGTCAACTCTTCACATCAGGTGGCCAAAGTATTGGAGTTTCAGCTTCAGCATCAGTCCTTCCAATGAACACCCAGGACTGATCTCCTT